GAAATTCGAAATAGACAAATGTGCAACTGTATATCTCATGTGAGCAGGGCCGTAGCGAAAAGAAATACCAGGGGAGGGGAGGAAATCCAAATTTTCTTATCACCTCTTCTTTTCTATTCTCTCATTTTTATTTTCTTAATCCTCATTATTTTTTTACTATTATTTTTTTCTATCTTCACGGCCCAAAATTTCCCAACTTTTCCCAACTTTCTCCCAAGCCGAATAAGCAGGGGGGAAGGTTCCCCCCGCCACCCCCCATGGCGACGGCCCTGACAGTAACGTCAATACCTCTACAAATATTTATTATTCTCTGCCGTATATCCAATATTGAAGCAGGTTCAGTTTCGTACACCTTTTGCTTCAAATATCCCCATATTGGAACATAATTTAGCAGTAGACGTAAAGAGTTTCTGTAGTCACATAAATAATAAACGACGAAATTTTACATCACTGACCACCAAATCACGGATACTTTTTTCTTCGGTATATTTATCAGTAGGCGCATCATATAATTTAAATTTTGAACCGGATAACAGTATTGGTAAATGATGTTCTAATTGTAAATTCAATAACCGAAAGAGATTTTAAAAGAGCGTTGAAAAAACTAAAACCTAAGAAAGCATCAGGAAGTGATGGCAGTCCACCTTATGTACTTAAAGCTTACGAGGAGTGGTTGGAGACACCTCTACTACACATTTTTAATTTGATAATTTCAGCTAACACCTTTCCGACTGCTTGGAAAACAGCAATCGTTACTTCAATTTTTAAATCGGGTAATAAAATGGATGTAGAAAACTACAGGCCAATATCTATAATGTGTGCAACTTCCAAGATATTCGAACAAATTATTTTTGCTCATTTATATGAATTTGTTGATAAATATATTATACCCCAACAACATGGCTTTGTAGCGAATAAATCTATCAGCACAAATCTGTTCACTTGCACAAATTATACATATGAAACTTTGGAAGCCAAATAGCAACTTGATGTAATATATACAGATTTTCGAAAGGCGTTTGACACAGTTGATCATGTTGTACTCTTGTGTAAATTGAG